GAATACATTCTGCAGGAGAGAAATTTTTTTGATTATTCAATAGACAATTTGAATAACAAGGAAAGCCACATAGGTCAGTCACCCTTCAATAGTGGACTTCTCATTGAATCATCCACAAAGATAGCAACCAATGAAGGACACAAGTTTGTGCACAGTTACACATTCACTAACCTATTAGGGCTCAACTTAGATATAAATTACTTATGTAAACTTCTCAGGAGTTATTTTAGCAGAACTTTATGAACACAATGTCTATAGCATTTTTGCAAAATACCTTCAATAGAATAATCCTTTCAAGTCTTTCATTGGCAACATTTTACTTTGGATGGTCTGCATTGCAGTGTTAGCTGCCTCTTCAAAAGCTGATATTCAGGTCTCTTTGGTTGGGATTCCATTTGAGAGTTAGAGAATTCAAGGCTCAACCAAAAGACAGACTGAACGTTTTTTGACCCTTACTAATTCTGTAAGCAGCAATTTAAAACTGAATTAACTTGCCTTCAATTTTCACACTACTAAATTAAGCTCAACTGAAGGAGAGTTTGAATGGAATTTAACTTATGTCAAGTGTTGAAAGGAGCAACTGCATTTTTCATAAACCTGACATAAGCTTACACTATCCTCTAGCTCTTGGAGTTTTTAATTGAAGTAAAAAGTTTTTTATCTGTAGCTGACTTCAAAATATGTGCTATTCCAAAGCACATAACATAGCTTGGCAACCACCACTACACCAGCATTTTACTGTTGTCTAGTTTATTAACATTATCCTTTCTGTTTATATTAACTTTTAATAATTTCATACAATGTATATTTTATCATATTCAGCCCCTTCTTTAGGGAGCAGAGGATGCCCTGAATGAGTAAAGTACTGAAGAAATGTGTGATTTGACATGAGGCTAGCCTGTTGAGGGCTCCAAGACCAATAGGCTCTTGGTAAATTGTCAAAGCTGTTACCCATATGGGTCAAGCTCAAGAGAGATGGCAACGCTTTCCTCAGAAGTGATAAGAACTTTTGATCAGTGTGTGCAAAGACTAGCAACTGAATCTTCCCCTGGATGCTTATAACCTATGACGGCCATTATACAAAACGTCACATAAAGATTAGCTAAACCCTCCCCTTGAGCTGTACTTAATAAACATGTTGAGGTTCCAGGTTCTCTCTGTAAAGATTAGAGAACCCTCACCTAATCCAAGTTTCATTGTACATGTGTCTTTGTGTCTCTCCTTCTTTACATCCCTCTGCTGTCCTTAGCAAAGTTAGAGAACCCAAGTAACACAGGACACAGCACAGTCATTTAAACTCCTCCAAGATACACACCATCTCCTACCCTCATAACTTGATGTCCTCATTTATGTAAAATCCATCAAGTTCAGTTTGTGTTGCACATATACTCTAAAGTATGTGGCCATCTATTAGAGCATGATTGGCCTACAAGGAGTCACACCCTTAAAGAAAATAGACTCCCCCTCTACAAGTAGCTAACAGTTTCCAACTTCTCATCCAGGGGTAGGACATCATGCTTACTTCTCCTCTCCATGTTGGAATTTTCTTAAGAATAAGTTTGTAGAGGTGTTGTGCATGCTGTCACAACATCTGTGACTTTGCAGTGAAACTGTCCAGTTTCTGTTTGAGAAACATTGTTTCCTTGTGCTTATCCACAATCTTTTGATCTTACAATCTTTCCTCCCCCACTTCTGTAATACACCTGAGGAATCAAAGAAGACGTAGAATATAAATCTCCCATTTAGGGATGAGGATTGCATGGTTTCTCATTCTCTGTACCTTGATCAGTTGTAGGTCTCTGTGTGTCTTAGTTATTTTTATGGCACTTTGAAGAGACACCATGACCTAAACAATTTAAAGCAGAGAATGTTAATGGGGATTTACAGTTTCAGAGGGTGAATCCATGGCCACAACAGTGGGGAGCATGGCAACAGGTAGGCAGACATGAAGCTAGAGCAGTAGCTGAGAGCTGACATCTGAACCACATGCATGAGGCATGAGGCAGAAAGAAATCTAACTAGAAATGGTATGGGTTTCTGAAATGCCCCCTAGTGACACCCGTCCTCCAACATGTCATAGCTCCCAATCCTTCCCAAACAATTCCACCAACTGGAACCAAATGTTCAAATATATGAGCCTATGGTCTTTCCTTAAAAACATCTTTTCTATTCTTCTCTTAAATGAATTATTTGTATAATTTCTTTCTCACATTTGCCTCTTTTTGGCTTTGTATTAACTTTCTACTGGCCTTGTTATATGAATTGCTGAATGTTCTCTATTGCTCCTATTCTTGGGAAGTTTGAAACAATAATTTGATAGCTACATTTATGTGCCACATTACTACATTAAGGCATTTTCAGACAGGTGTTAAAATGTTATTCTGAGTGTGTCTTTGAAAATGTTTCTAATAATTTATTGACTGAATGAGAAATTTAGGAAAGTAGGCAGTCTTCTTCAGTGTGGGTGGAAATTACTCACAATATTTTTTAATAGAAAAAAAGATAATGGGAATGCAATCCAGAATGTGCTGGGACATTCATATTTTTCTGCCTGTCCTGAGTTCTTAGGTTTCAAAATTATACCACTGGTTTACACCTCCAGATCATGGGACTTCTTTTTCTTGTGAAGCACCCCCAATAAATATTTTCTTACTGATTTTTATCTGTTGAAAAATTATAAGTAACAACTGATTTTTAAATAAAAATAGACAATAGATAAGCATATTTTAGAAAGTCAGCCTACTGATTTCTCTATAGAATGATTTCAAATCTGAATCAATTTTTCTAAGGGCTAATTCTTTTTTTTAAAATATTTATTTATTTATTATGTATACAATATTCTGTCTGTATGCCTGAAAGCCAGAAGAGGGCGCCATACCTCTTTACAGATGGTTGTGAGCCACCATGTGGTTGCTGGGAATTGAACTCAGGACCTTTGGAAGAGCAGGCAATGCTCTTAACCACTGAGCCATCTCTCCAGCCCCTCTAAGGGCTAATTCTAAAATCAATTTCAGTTTTGAATTTTTTCTTTTTTTATATCAATTTGTAAAGTTGTTCAACCTATTAATTTCTGCTACAGATGTAGTTGTATTAGTTACTTTTCTCATAACTGGGATAAAATACTTGAAAGAAGCAATTGAATTTATTTTTTTAATTGTCAGAGAGAATATAGCACATGCCTGGGGAAGGTCCTGAGCAGAAGCAGGTATCAGGCAACTAATTACACTGGCAGTGAGAAAGCAGAGAGCTCAGGTGGAGGGAAACATGGAAATACTTATCCTAAGGCTCTATTTCAGCCAGCTAGGCCACAGGTCTAAGTGTTAGAGCTTCCCTAAAGAGCACTCTCAGTTAAGGAATAGTTGTTCAAACAAAAGCCTGTGAGGGACATTTCTCACATAAATTGAACAAAGGTAACTAGTGTTTATTAAATTTGAGAAGCAATGCTTAATATTTTATCTTTCCACTATAACTAAACATAGGTTTTGTTTAGTTTTTAGTTTCAAACATTTTAAAATCCAACACTGAAATTTTAATTAATTTTTACAAGGTAAACACATCTTTGTAAGCAAGACCAGACCAACATAATATTTATCTGTACCCCTGAACACTCTTGATTAACTTTCTTAAAAACGAGCTTGTGTGTGTGCGGGGGTGTGGTTACAGGGAACACAGAGCTTGTTACTTGGTGGATGGTGGTATCTCAACTCTGGTCCTCGTTATAGTGCAGAAATCATTAAGTTAACGTCTTGATTATTTCTGAGATTGTGAAAATAATAGACCAAGTACCATCTTTTATTTGATTTCCCTTGCTCAACTTTTATGATATACATCCTATAAATTCATAAAAATTGACTCATTGTTTTGGGGGGGTTGTATGTATTTGTTTCTTAGTTTTTGTAACAGGGTCTTACAGTGCAGCTCATGTATTCATGACTTTGAATTCATAGTAGTCTTCCTTGCTCAGCCTTTTGGGCACTGAATTACAAGCAAGGGCTTACCCTGCCTGTCTCAATAATTTCTACTTCTACTCCTCTGCCTTTGCATGTTCTGTTTCCATGACATAAATTCTAAGAGATGATTTAATCCAAATCCTCTGGTACCTCATTCCTATTTTAAAAATCTCATTTAACTCAGATGTAATGACTGCCACAGGCACCGACTTATTAAAAAAAGTGTACTTTTTAAAAAAAAATCATTGAGTTGTATGCAGGCTGCAACACAAACATTTTATGCTAAAGATTCAGTCCATAGATAATCGGGAAACAGTAAAAAAACATAACCAAGATGTTATGATTAACTTCCCTTTTTCCAAGTTTCAGAAGATGCAATTCTCTTATTTTTATTCTGTTTATGTGTTTATGATGAACTTGGGTAACTCTGACGACTTCCATCGCCCCCCTGAAACTCTTCTTGAAGACCTGCGTGTCCTTTCGTGTGTGTGTGTGTGTGTGTGTGTGTGTGTTCCACTGAGTTTCAGCACAGCAACCTACTACTTAAAAAAAATGTCACACACCCCATCCAAGCACCCATTAACTAACTGTTGATAGTTCTCCCATCCATAATGGAATAGTAATGAGCCAATTTATAATATTTTAAATAGTTTTTTACAGAGAAGGTGTCAGAGCTCAGCAATCCAGCCTTATTTTAAAGCACGATCTCCCATTTATTTGTGTACTATCACAGAGTACAGGCGCGTTCACCGGACTTTAGTGGCAAGTTTAAAACGTGTGACAAAACTCAAGCTCGCAGTGCATGTCGGATCCGACCTCACCTCCACTAAATTCACAATGCCACACGTGCACTTCTACAAGAGTCCTATGGCACACTCGCTCGGTCCAGGAAGAACCGCGCACGTATTTGCACCCTCTTGAGAGATCTGAACGCGCGAAGGCACCGTGGGAATCCGAATGCGCATGCGTACTGCTCCGGCGCATGCGTCGCAACCCGCGCATGCTCAGATGCTCCCACCGCCCGGCTACTGGGGGCCTGAGGAAGGCTACCCCGCCCCGCCCCGTCCCGCCCCGCCCCTGCCTGCTCGAAGCGCTCCTGCCTGCCGGGTCGTCCTCACTTCTCTTTCCCCACAGTCTGTCGCCTCTCCCTTGCGTTTCTGAGTCTCTGCTCGCGCACGTCGCGGGATCCACGCCGCAATCCATGGCCAGGCCTACGGGGCTGAGGAGCTGGGCGACCTCCCGGCTCTTCGCTGCCGGTGAGGAGCGAGAGGAGCGAGCGGTGGGAGGTTGTGCTGGGGATGGAGCCGAGCTGGGTTGGGGCCGAGCTGGGTTGGGACTGCGCCGCGGGGAACCTAGGACGTCAGTGGGCCCTGGCTTCCTCAGCGGAACTCTCTGCCTGCAGATGCCCAGAGGGTACAGCACTACCTACTGTGCAAACAGGAAGTTTCCTTGACTCCACTGATTAGACTGAGGATGTTGAGCCCCAACTTGGAATAGGTTCTGAGTCTAAAAACGGGATGATGCCTAAGGACAGATTTTGGGCAGATAGCCAAGAAGATTGTGTTGTGAAGAGAGACCCAGTGTCTTTTAAGGTGTCAGCATGGAATATTTGGGTTCTCTGTGGTTCTCCCGACTTAGCCACCAATTTCGATCCCCATGTGAGCCAGGCATTGCCCTGTAATAAGTGCTATAACTGGAGCCCAGTTTTGTCATGTTCTACCTATTTTAGGGAATTGCAGTTGGACTTTGTACCAAGGGGATAAATGCTACTAGAGAAAAAGAAAATTATTTTTATCTCTAGGCCAGAAAATTAGGTTAGCGAGAAGAAAAAATAAAGCGAGAGTGGAAATATGCAACTATGTATTATGTGTACTTACCTACATAGTGCTTGCCCTTTGCAATATGAGTGAATGCATTGTAAATCTGAGTGAATGAACTACTTTTGCTTTAGTGTCTCTTAATACCTTGTAATGGTGAGCTCTTTGGTAAATAGTAATAAATAAATAAATAAAATAAAACTAACATTTTATAGGCAATTTAGACTTAAGGTAAAAACAAAGTGATAAATCATTTATCTTCTATATTTTGTCCTTTCCAGTTATTTTACTTGACCTGGCTGTCTGTAATGGATTTGTAGAAGATCTAAATGAATCGTGAGTATACATATATGTGTAAAATACTATTATATACTATTTAACATCATTTAACTCAGATGGCCGTGCAAATTTCTGCACAGGAATCTCATTTTTTAAAATAATAGGTACAGTGGTGACTGATGTTAACATATTACCAATTTTGTTTTAGTTGTTTTAAGTTCCATTTACATGCAAAATTGAGGAGTGCACCAGCAAGTTTGGCTAAGTTATAAAGTGACAATCCAACCAATATTTCTATATTGCTTCTTCTTTTAATTTAATCATACAGAGTGAGAGCTGGAATTCATGGTTTAATCTGTAGTATAACAGGTTTATTCGCAAGATCTTGCTCACACAGGAGGTGAGAAGTCTAACTTTATTGCAAAATTCAAGGTCAGTCTTTCTGCCTTGACTGCAGGGGATAATAATCTTTTCCCTGGCAGGCCACATGGGTGCCTTTCCTCACACCAAATTTGATGTATAACCAGTCTCTGGAGGGACTTGTAGTCAAGGACTCAGGCCTCCCATGCCAACCAAGCTCATAAATATACCAGCACTCCCAGCCTATTTGTTGGGTGATTATTGGCATCTTCACCTTTTTTATATACTTTACTACTAAAATGTTTTTGCTGAGGTCTTTAGCTTGGTCACTTTCCCACTTAGCGTTCTGTGCTTCTCATCAGTGAGATGGATATCTCTGTTTGTGCTACATCTGCCTGATGTTTGTATGGTACTGTTTCATAACAGGAACAAACGACACCCATCCAAGGAGTTACCATTTTTTTTTTTTTAATCCCTCATATCTTTCACTGTTAACAGTAGATCAATCAGGACTTGTTACTTCCAGGTTTGTGTGTGTGGTGGGGGGGCATGAATTTGTGTAGGTGTTTGTAGTTTGTGGTGTGTGTGCACATGTGTGAGCACAGCCTTTGCATGCATGTATAAAGGACAGACAATCACTGTAAGTCCTGCTTTACTGCTTTACGTCTTACTCCTTCGAGACAGGATCTTTCTCACTGAACCTGGTGCTAGCCAGTATCTAGCAAGCCCCAGAAACTGTTCCTGTTTCTATCTCGGTGTACTGAAATTACAGGCATGGTAAAGGCTTTTTTGTGTGTGCTAGAATCTAAACCCAGGTCCTCCTTACACAGCAAACCCTCTTACCAACTGAACAATTTTGGCAGACGGTTAATTTCAATTTTGTTCTTTGTCTCCATCAACCACCTTGGCACCTGACTGTATGATTGAATTGCTTTAGTGAGAGTAATGTGATCATTTGAATAAAGGTACTCTAATGGTAATACATTTCATATAGTAGGAAAAAAAGATACTCTAATGGATTGGCAAGACGTATGAACATCTCATGGGTCCTAGTCATAGCAATGGGCCTTGTGGGTATGTTTGAAGATTGTTTATAGAAAATGGTTTTTGAGGAAAACTCTTTGATATCAAGAAAGTAGCGTTTTTTAACTCAATGGTGCCTTGTGGGGCATGTCACTATCAACCACCTTTTCACTCTCTTTTAATAATAAATAGTAACTCTGCCTGAGAAAAGTCTCACTTCTAGTAATCATTTTGCTGCTTATGTGAATGCTAACCTGAAAGACTCTTCCATTGGGAAATGTTAATGATAGAGAACCTTGCTTGTTGGCTAAATGAGAAAAGTAAATTATATCTTGTAGTAGTGCCAGCAGATGTTACCACTCAGATCCACAAACTTCAGACATGATCCCAGACTGAGCATGGAATTTATTGTGAAAAAGCACCAAAACCATATGAAAGAAGTCTCATTTCTCATATTCCAGTGAAAGCTAAAGATACCCCAGAAGGATATTGCTGAAGCCCAAATTCATACCATTCTTGCTAGATGGAATATGCTGCACCCTTTGTGTTGTCTGTAATATTCCTTGGGACCTGACTTCCAGTGATGTCACTGAGTTTGCTTAGTCATCCCCATGCTTTGTGCTGACTTGACCCACTCTGTGTAGGTCATGGGTGCCATATTTGCTTCCTGTTGAGGTTGTTTAGGAGCGATGCATCTCATGGTGGCTGGTCCTGGAGTTTTGAATTAGCCTATACTCAGTTGACTTATTCGGGAGTATACAATTAAGTCCTATGCTGTGTCACACTAACCCACAGGACTAGGTGAGTGTTAAGGTTCACAGTTAAAGGACAATCCTAACTTAGCTGATGGCATTTTACAAGTTTATTATAGCCTGAAATATGAATGTCAGATCTTTGATCCCATTACAGCAATTCTGGATTTGCTGCATTTCACGAATATTTTATGAGAACAACATTCTTTACCAGGAAATGATGGAACTCCTAAAATCCACACTCTTAATACAATCCAGAGACCTATCTTGTTAACAGAGTTTCCTATGAATATCCTTAGGCCACTGCATTAAATTTCTTGCATGAATTTAATATGGAATACAGAAAAGAAGAGCTTAGGAAACACATCGTCATCCCTCAGTACTCATGGAGATTAGTTCCAGGATTTTCTGTAAATAGCAAAGTCTGGATGCTTAAGTACATTATATATATATATATAATAGCTTATTTGCATATATCTGTACACATCTGTGTATTTTAGTTCATCCCTAGGTTTTTTTTTTTGGTAACACCTAACAAAGCATATTGTAAATACTTTTGCTGTATTGTTAATGTAATAAAGACAAGAAAATGAAAAGCAGTACTTGTTCAGAATAGAGAAGCCCGTTCCTCAAGTGGAATATCAAAGGAAACAGACTACATTTGTGGTTCTTACCCATATTCTCCTTTCTTTTGTTGGAGTTTTTCAGTTCTTTAGACAGTTTTCAATTTTAATTCTTAAAGTGCTTGCTGGGTAGGAAAAGATTTAGTAGTTACTGAGTAAAATTTTTATATGAAACTTAGAAAATTTGTTCTGTGTTCTTTTATTGATCAGTTCAATATTAAGTTGCACATTTGTAAATTATACTAGTTATTGTAATAAATACTGTTGTAGGGATATTGTTTGTGAACATAAATATAAAATCAGATTTATTTTTCCTTTTGTTTTTAGATTTAAAGATAACCGAAAAGATGACATTTGGCTTGTTGATGTAAGTATGTAAATTTAAGTATCATTTTTGATCTCTTTTATGCAGAGAGACCAATTTGTTTTCTCAGATATTACTACTTTCATTTCCCTCGTATGTATGTGTGTGTGGTGTTTGTGCATGTATGCGTGGGTATTTCTAAATGTGTGCATTCACGTATGCATGCAAATGTTTATGGTGTATATCTATGCCTGTGAAGGCTGGAAGTTGACACTGTGTCTTCTTCAGTTGCTGAACACCTTGTATAATGTGAAGCAGGCTCTCTCACTGATCCTAGATGGAAATCAAAATTTTCTCTGTTTTGGTTAAGTGTCTTGCTCTGGGGATTCCCCATCTCTTTCTCTTATGGACCTCTTATGGACCATGATATGTTCTTAGTTGCATGTACCCACCTGGATTGTACTTGTGTTTTGGTGCTCCAAATTCTGGTCCTTAGAAATGCATGGCAAAAGCTGGGCGGTGGTGGTACATGCTTTTAATCCCAGCACTCAGGAGGCAGAGGCAGCTAGATCTATGTGAGTTCAAGGCCAGCCAGGTCTACAAGAGCTAGTTCCAGGACAGTCTCCAAAACTATAGAGAAACCCTGTCTCGAAAAAAAAAGAAGACAATGACGACAACGACATGCATGGCAGCTCTTTACCCTCTCAGCTATATTCCTACCCCTACTTTCAAGATTCTGGCAAAGGAATTTGTTTTTGATCAAATTCTGGGAGTAAGGTCACATTTTTTGAAGAAGTTGAGGCCATTTCTTACAAGGAAATTGTAGATTATATCTTAAGGAGATTACTTTATGATTTCAATATAGACTTTACCCTTGTTTCTTCATTTTTTAAGAGATTGAGTTATAATAATATACAGTAATGCCAAACATGCTTCATCCCAATACTGATAAAAATTAAGTTTGAGTGTTTGCTTTAACGTGTATCAGTGGGAAAAATGTATAGCCCACAAAGTGGAACAAGAGAGCAGAGTTAATGATTGTTGGGAGTGGAAAATAGAGCCTGAGAATCTGCTGCTTAAGTCTTCCTCCTTTTATTTATGTTTAAACATTTCCATGGAATCACCCTGAAAAATAAGTCTCATTTAATGAAAATACATAAATATTGTGTTAATACCATATAAATAGAATACCTAATTAAATTGTTTGATTCTGAAATGTGAAGGGCAGTGGTTGCAATCAAACTGACTTGTCCCTGTGTCAAATCTCTCAATGATCATGCAAAATCCTGCCAGTGAAAACAGTAGAACTCAGCAAATGTATCTACCTCTGTGTTAATTTTTTGTACTAGAAACAGATGTTTTCCATGAACACAGGTTGAATGTGGTATGGTGCTTGCATGTTTATTTAGTAGTTTTATCTTAAGTAGAACATAAACACGTTTGCACAGAATTAAAGATTTTGAATCAATCATGATTCTATTCTAAATAGGTATCGATAGTCAATTAAAATGAAATTAAAATATTAGTTTTGAGGTATTCCCTAAGAGGTAAGCGATCTAGATTCATACGTTTTTTTATTTTGTTATAAAAAACTATCTTGTCTGAAACAGATTAGTAATTAGATTGCTTAAATAAATTCTTTGAATATTAAGGTTGAGCTTCATAGTGGTACAAGGTTTTAGTGTATTTTTTTTTCCTTTTTGTGTAGTTTTATGCACCCTGGTGTGGCCATTGTAAAAAACTGGAACCAATATGGAATGAAGTTGGACTTGAAATGAAAAGCATTGGTTCTCCAGTTAAAGTTGGAAAAATGGATGCTACTTCCTACTCTAGTAAGCTCATAGTTAATTATTCTGTTATTCTATTAATGGAAATATTTTAATTATAGCATTCAGGGTAAGTAGAGGGGATGCTTTATCATGGAAAGTTATCTTAATAAGTTAAGACTATATACTTAGAGTTAAACAAAATTACCATTAAAAATTCAATACACTGTATGTGCTAATCTTAAGCATAGCATAGATATGCAAGTCATTGTTTGCTTCTAGTTGAGTCTACATTGATAATCTTATAGGAGGCAACTACAGAAAAGTTGAATTTGTAAGTATAAGCTGAGGAAGCATAATATGGAAAAAACTAGGTACTACAAGATGGGTTGTATAAATGAAGATTAGAAAGTACTGAAAGTTGAAAATGAAATTAGTGAGTTGGTACAGAGAACTGAATGATGCTGAGACGAGTACATGGCACCTCATAGGCCAAATTTGCTCTGCTGCTTAGTTTTGTAAATAGAATTATTGAACTATTGCTACAGTCATTTGTGTATTGTTATCTAGACTATTTTCATGCTCCATTGTCAAAACTGAATTGTGACAGAACTACATATCCCCATAACCTAAAATGTTTGCTATCTACCATTTCAGAAAATCTTTACTAGCAAGTGTCTTAAGGAAAATAATAAAAGAAGAAATTAAGTTTATGGAAGTATGGGATGTCCTATCAATTTGGAAAGAGTATAGCTTCAGAGAAAATAATAGTGCTTTTGTTTGCTGTAGTGGGAATTCTTCTAAAGGCCCTAAACTTTGGCTTTATTGGTAAACATTTAGTTGTGTTATTTCTTTTACTGGCTGTTTTGAAGTTTGAATGATGTGGCATATGCTAAATCTTTCATATTCAATAAGATTGGTTTCCTTTTACTTCTGAAAGCAGAAGTATGCTGTGTGACAATATAGCACAATATAGTCTTACAAAAATGGGACAAGATCTTTCCCTGTCTAAAGACTGGCTTAGAACTTTCTCTGAAATCCTTAGACTCATATCAGTATTTCTTCTCAGTTTCCCAAGTAATAGGATTACAAATATGAATCAACATATCCTGCTACTTACTGTGCTTTTTTTCTTTTTTCGGGAAGCTAAGTATATGTTCTAGGTTGTACTTTACTTCAAGACAGACCCATGTTTTTTAATTTCAACTCTTATTCCCTACTTTGTGGCTTTAGGTAGGCTACTTAACCAAGTTTTAGTTATTGAATCTGTAAGGGACTAATAATCTTAAAGGTGGAGACAATTGTATAATGCTTCATACTTAAACCCCCTTGGTGCAATGGCTAGTACATACAGAAGGTACCATATTGTTAAGAGTTTCCCAGGTGAGAAAGTGTTATACATTTTATCATTTGTCAATTGGGAGAGATTACAATAGAGGGAAAGCAAATGACTTGATAAAAATGTTTTGGGCTGAAACTTATAAGATCAAAAAGAATAACAATACATACATGAAGATTATCTATATGAGGTTTCATATTCTGTGTAGGATGCTAGGAGCTCAGAATTGAGTGAAAACAGCAGAACTGTGAAAATATGGTAGTAAATGCTGGTAATATTTATGGTAGTAAATATATGGTAGTAAAATATGGTAGAAAAATGCTGATAGTCATTTGCAAGGCTGAAGTTACAGATGGAATAGATTGCCGTTGTAATCCTTAGTATACTTTGTTAAAAATGAGGCCGCTTGTTGGTTCCTGGTTGCTCAGTCCCAAAATAATCACACAGAAACTATATTATTTAAATCACTGCTTGGTCCATTAGCTCTAGCTTCTTATTGGCTAACTCTTACATCTTAATTTAACCCATTTCTAGTAATCTGTGTATTGCCATGTGGCTGTGGCTTACCAGGTAAAGTTCCCAGTGCTTATCTCCTTCAGGGGCTACATGGCTTCTCCCCGACTCTGCCTCCTTTATCCCAGCATTCAGTTTAGTTTTCCCAGCCTACCTAAATTCAGCCCTATCAGGCCGAGCCAGTTTCTTTATTCATTAACCAATAAAAGCAACACATAAACAGAAAGACCTCCCACACCAGTACTTGCTGAGCTGTATATCTCCACTATTGTATGGGAAAGCATATTGTTTAGTTTTTTGTTTATGTTCACAGTGTCAGCTAGCCTAAGTTTGCAATTTTTCAGATTACTGATGTTAATGAATCAGTGATCAAGAATGTAGTTGAGTTGTTAGAGCTGAAATTCCTAAATGAAACAAGAGGACTGACAGACCACTGTTGAGGAGAGGGAGGATGTTTGGGCTAGTATATTTGAATTAGTTTTTAACTGTATTAGAAGAAGGAGTTGTAGAGATGGCTCTGGTTGAGAATGCTTGCTACAGTTGCAGAGGACCTGGAATTTGTTCCCAGCACTCGTATGTGACTTACAACCATCCTGAACTCCAGCTTCAGAGACTCTGACAGCATCCTTCTATCCCTGAAAGCATTGTACACATATGGTACATGAAAGCATCCATGTTGTGATATATTGTGCACATTCATACGTGAAGGCAAAACACTTAAAAAAATAAAGTAAAACTAATAAATCTAAAAGGAAAATAATGTTAAAGAAGTTTTTACATTCAGTGATTACCAACTGTGACTAGTTACATCTTGATTATGTCCACAGCCATGCATATTTACTCATCACACATTTTCTATCTATTTATGAACTCACATTCCATTCTTTAGAGACTATTGAAAAGTTTCACTTGGCCAGGAAATACTTATAGCCTATTAGAGAGAGAAGGAGAAATAAATTATTAAGTGCAAAAAAGTCTGGAGAAATGGCAGATTCATTGATCACTTGAATCATTTAGTGGGAAATAGAATAGCTATATTAAGAAGTTACTGGGAAAACACATACATATATTTATACAATGCATTTAAACTGGAACTATCATAAAGATAAACTGTGGTGCCTCCGTGACATTTACATTAACTCAAAGCTTGCAGTATCTGATCCCTTGATATTTAAATTTTGTATTCATTAAGTGACTCTATTAAAGGAGTTCTGAGATTAGAAAAAAATAACCAAAATAAGGGCTAGAAATGTTCCTCAATGGTAAAGAACTTCCTTGGGATATATAAAGCCAAAAGGTTTAGTTATAGTTCAGGTAAAAAAAATGTTTAAGTTGAGGAACTATAAAGTAGAATATTTTGATATGTAGTTACATAGTTTGGGTTTGATTTCAGAGAGGACCATTCCAAACAGTCAAGTATAGAAAAATTGTCTAAGATTGTTTTGACAGTAGCTTACTCTCAGCTGTGTAATTGTGGCAGAAACAAATGCCATCAGGCTTAATAAAACAAATCCCAATGGATAGGACTTTTGAACAGGAATTTTAAAATAGTGCGGTTTATTTTTCTGTGTTGAAATTGCACCAAATATTTTTGATGCCATTTTAATTAATAATTAGTCAACCAAATTTTATAAAATCTGCACAGAGATCCTTTCTTCCAGGGATGAATACTAAGAATATTTTTCATTTGGAAGTTAAATCATATAGTTTCCCCTATCATAGTGAGTTTATTTCTATTCTGGAGCACCTAAAACTCTGCTTACTCTCTGCTTACTATATAGCCTTGTTATACGGTCAGGGTCCTCTGCATCACTTGCATGAGTAAGCTTTCATTGGTATTTGACCAGCACCATTCCAATTTTTTGTTCTTGTTAAAGGATTAGTTTTGAAAATTTTCTCTCTAGATCACAAATTCTTTTTAATCTGTGACTGTAATTGATGGTTTTTCAAACTTGTATTATTGACATTTTAGACCAGCTATTTCTGTTTTTTTTTTTTTTTTTTTTGGTTTGGTTTTGTTGTTGTTGTTTGTGCTATACAAGTTGTTTTCCATGTATTTTTTAAATTTTTAGCAGCACCATATCTCTGACTTCTAGATTAAAGAAAGGTTCGTACACATTCCGGTTCTTCCTCCTATGCCCATATGTAAATTAAAAGCTTTACTTTCCTAAGAGTCATTATTTGTGCCCTTTTCATGTTGGTCATATGGTGACAGGAAGTATGAAAAAATAGTATTTTTTTTTAGCTAACTCTACCTCCCTTTTCAGTTCATAGATATTAACATAAGGTAAATAAACAAAGTGAAAAAAATAATCTCACATGTCAAAATTAGGGGCCAAGTTAGGCCCAGAATCTTCTATGAAGGGATTAATAACAAGTTTGTATGTGAATCATTTTTCTTTAATGTTAGAAGAAAAACAAGTCTATCAGACTGAGTTTCTATTTAACTCTTGCCTCCTAATTGATATTTTCACTCAAACAATATTCCAAGTGTTCAAAAGTTATGTTTTATCTGAGATTGGACAAGTTTTTCCTCACACAGAATTATTCTGAGCTACATTTAAAGGATTTTAAAGCCAGTTACAATATTCCACCTCAGTATATATTAGCATGTATACTGTGATGTGCAATTAGATATCACTTAGTAATGAGTTCAAGATCAGGGGTCAGGAACTAGATCTTCAGTTGTGGAGTTCTGTGTGCTAGACTGTGTGCTAGAAATTTTCCTATGTTTGTCTTCATTTAAAAATTCTTCTGCACACTTCATTTCATGAGTCTTTAGAATTTTAATTTGTGTGTGTGTGTGTGTGTGTGTGTGTGTGTGTGTGTGTGTTTATGGGAAGTATAGATCATGAAACTAGGAGAGGGACCATGAGAGGGAAAGAAGATAAGAGAAGAGGGAGAAGGGCAAAGAGTAATCATTGTTTATTTCTGATTAATTATGCATGCACACGTCATCCACACACAGAGAGAGACATTCATACATAGCACAGACAGAGACAGACACATTCACACACACAGAGACTTACCTGGGACTCGAACCTCGGGCACTGCAGGCGGCGCTCCAAACCTCTGAGCCAGCTCTCCATAGTAATCATTGTTTTGATAGTCACTTTTTATCTTTTCAAAGTATTTTCTGAAGTTCATATGTGAGATTATTAACTAATTACAATAAATTTTCATGGTTTTTTTCTAAGATTTTAATACTTAAAAACATTCACTTGGGTTTATGTGAATGCACTTTTTTTTTTTTTTGAGTAAAATGCTCATGTTACCTAGTTTTCTCTGTTTAAAAAGAACTTAGAAATATTTATTCTTTTCCTTATCAAGGCATTGCTTCAGAATTTGGAGTTCGAGGTTATCCAACAATTAAGCTGTAAGTTGAGTGTTGTATATTTATGTGTATATTTTAAATAGTTTACTCTTTTTACAATTTATTTATTCTAGTACTTTCTTTGGAGGTTGTAGGTTTGTGTTTTTAAACCAAGTGTGTGATCAAAGGTGAGAGGCTCTATATGTGTGTGAGGTGTACAGCTAAGTGAGTAACTGTATTCTGAGTGCTTGCTGTATATTATACATTTACAGAACGAGGTATACATTCATAAATTATGAAAGGTCTCCTGAAGGACCACATTATATATTCTGCTTTGCATCCGCTAATCACATGAAACAGATTTCATTCTTGTATATTTAAAGAGACTTACTTCATCAGAGAAAAAAGAAATCAAGAAAAGGAAAATTGATAGATGTTAATTTTAATAGATGAGTATTTATCAAGTCTCGTAGAGAATTTAAGCTGAAAAAATGATATGGTGATTCTAAAGGGAATTATTTTATAATGATTTTGCTACATTTTGCTATTTTCATTGACCTTATTTTGGCATTATGAGTAGCTAAGCTTTCTTTTCAAAGTTATATTTATAAGTAAGCTAGCTTCTTCCAATACTTTAAAACCTCAGATTTTACAAGTTTAAGTAAGTATATTATTCTGGGGTTTTTTATTGATATTTTTCCTTTGTTTTTGAAAATGTTACAGTGTGTGTTAATGATCCTTTCTCTGTTATTAGGAGTTCTGTTTTGCTCATTAGTTGTTTTTTTCCTGTACAGTTGATTAGATATAAATTTATTTATTAACAGATTTTTTGGAAGATAATCTATGTTTTAGGAAAGCCATTTTTATGTCTGATTTATGATGAATATTGGAGAATTTATCAAGTAATTTGTATTATACTGGTGAAAATGAGCTTTGCTACCACTCTAGTTCCTAGTCCTTTTTTTTACCGCTTGATCGAGAGTCTAATTAAAACTACTCTGACTTAAGCCCTTTACTGTAAATGTGCAAATTACTCACTTTTTTCAGACAGTGCATACTAAAATTCAATACCACAGAGTAAAATGTATTCCTCTTGTGTGAGTGAAGTATATTCGTATGCATCTTAAGGTGCTGTTTATCAGAAGACAGTTGCATACTGTTTTACACAAGTGTGCTTCTTGTAAAGTTTCCCCTTATTTGGCATTTTGTGCATTTTAAGTTTATATTTCAGTAAATTATGATTGAAATTAAAAATGAAGAAAGTTAATTTCCAATTTTTATTTTTAAGATTGAAGGGGGACTTGGCATATAATTACAGAGGACCACGGACTAAAGATGATATAATTGAGTTTGCTCACAGAGTGTCTGGGTAAGTTGAAAAACCTTTAATATTTGAAAGAAAATATATTTTAGTAGACCACATCGGAATACATATTTTAGGTATAAAATGTGTTGTATACATGTATGAAACAACCTAAGGTTTTATAGCATATGCAGTGAAATTCTGTAAAGATGTATCATATTTTGTAATATATGTTAATTTTGTGTTTAAGGCCATTTTATGTTTAAAAGAATCGTTTTTTCCTCCAGTGAATTTAATACATTTTCTAATTTTTTATTATAACAGTCTTTTTTATTTATAAAAGACATCCTAAGCTAACCCCGACACCACCCTCAAGGGATGCTTGAAGTTGTGCCTAGTACCAGACCATATGGAACGTGCTCTATTTCTTTCTCTCAAAATATCTTGTAAAGAAGCACTTGAATTCCTTTCTTTAGTATCTGTATTTCCAGTATCACTAACTTCTGTACTTTGGGTCCTTCGTTAAACAAAGTAAGAATTACTTACACTTAACTCGTGCAGTTCCTTCATAAGTCAGTCTGGTGACTCAAAAGGCTGTAAAATTGCTAGTGGGCAGGTCTTGTATACACCATACATACACTGATCAAAGAGATGATTCACTGGCTTTCTATCTATGTACCTTTGAGGGAAAATAGTATAGAGTAGGGTTTCATAATACTCAGAGCAGTGCACAATTTAATTTATGGACTGTTTCCTGTGAAAGCTTGTATTTAGTACTATCAGACCATAGTTGCTAAGGGTAATTGGAAACATGGGAAATGAAATTGGGAGGATTACTCTAACAATTTTTTGAATCTTAACTTTTAAATATATTTTTCTTATGTAGTAATGCCTTATATCAACTTTTATTTCTTTTTCTCTAATTTCAGAATCTTAAGAGAAGCCCAGAATGTTCTTATTCTGATAGTCTTGGAATTCTATCCCTAGTTTGTGGTTCTGAAAATATTTTTTAGATTCACCTAAATTAATTTTTTTACCATCACATTTTTTATGCCATCTGCAAAGTGATCTGACAGTATGTGTTTATCAGATGATATAGTTAGAACCCAGTGAGCCATTTGCATTGAATGACAAATATTTGACCTATTGCTGATCAGGAAGTAGATCCTTTCACAAGCAATTCTTACTAATTTAAATGTGATTCTTTAAAAAAAAAAAACAGTCTATATCTTGCTAAGGTATAGAGAATATCAGTGTTTATAATTATATTTATGTGTTTCTCTTTTGAAGAACATTTGTCAAGATTAATCTGTATTGCCTGTAAAGTTCTAGGCACTTTCATTTTAGCTTGGCAAGATAAATTATAAATAGCTTTAAGTTAAAACATGATAGTTTGTTGTATAAAATGATGCCTCAAAATATCTGTATAAATGCACAGAACTAAGAATAATTTATGTTAAAGTTTGTGATGCTTATATGTGTAATTTCCATTGTATTTTCTCGTTCTGATTGCATATTTCTCTTCGTTTACTTTGTGAATAAATTTTGAAATGGTTTTGTTGGAGATGAGTACTAGTAAGATGCACTTAACCCCCATGACTTCAGGTAGCTTTATGTTTTGCAGTTATGTTAATTTTTCTTTAACTCTAAAAAGGAATGCTCCTGATGTGAGGGTGCCTCTGGAGTAGGGGAGATTTCGTGACTCAGTTTTAATGTTGCATCACTTACTGGTTAATTATGAAGGATTGAAGCAGAAGCTAGGGAGAGTTATGCAATGACCTTAAGAGCTGTGTGTTTGGAAAGTGTTTGCCTTTGCAAAATAGGTTCTGTTCATTTTGTAAATTTTGAGTACTGAAAGTATGATAATCTATACCATATTTAAAAGAAAAAAGCATTTACTCATTTCTTAACTGTATTTGATAAGTGATATGTTTTATAATACTCTTTAGTATTGATGTATTCCTTTTTTTAAATGTCTTTGATAAATTCCATAGAAATATTTTCTCTTTGTACTATTGTATAACTATTGCTACATTTTATTTTTCTGAAAATAACTAATAATGATATAAATTGAAAGCTTGGGTCTTTGACCTCCATAGGGTACTTAAGAAGTATATAACATTTAGATTGAATCATATTATATAAATTTTAATTCTTTTTATTTTGTTTTATTTTTTGAGACAAGGTTTCTCTGTGTAACTTTGGAGCCTGTCTTAAAACTCTCTCTCTCTCTCTCTCTCTCTCTCTCTCTCTCTGGAGATCAGATTGGCCTTGAACTCACATAGATCCACCTACCTCTGCCTCCCAAATTCTGGGATTAAAGGCTTGCACTACCACCACCTGGCTAATTTTAGCTCTTGTTGACTCCTGGGATACTGTTTCATAATCTGTTTCTTTAAAATATGCTTTTGAAAAGGAAAATTTTTTCAGGTGAATTGTCTTGCTTTTAGTCAAGATCTGTAAATGAATACTCATTCTGTCTTACTAATCAGAAATATTATTGATGTTTTTCTAAAGAAATATATTTGAAACTGCCAGATTTAATTCTGGGTACTACATAAAGCATGACTATGTATTACACAAGCACCATAGACTGAAATTTTACTTGAGTAGATTTGAGATATACTTAAGTGCAGATAAAACATTGCTAGCACTATAAACATTATCAGCTATCACATAATTGGAATGAATTGTGCACTGTCTTGAGTTCGTACCCATTTGTTTTCTTTTCAAATAGAGCTCTGATTCGGCCACTTCCAAGTCAACAAATGTTCGACCATGTACAGAAGAGGCATCGAGTATTTTTTGTTTATATTGGTGGAGAATCACCCTTGAAAGTATGAAGTTATCTTTTTTTCCAAATAAGCATACATATTGTAATTCTTTTTACTGTACAGTTATGATTTTATGAAAACTTGAAAGCAAAATATTTTAGCTTATCTAAATATTTTTCACAATGAAAATACTTTCTTTAATCCCCCTTACTAAATTTGCCATTATGAAATTGAGGTAAGTGAAAAATTTGAGAAAATATTCCCTGCCATAGTAATTTTTATGTAACTAACTTCATTATTTAATTTTAACATTTTTAAACACTTTAAGTGAAAGACTGGAAACTGCAGTGAAATGGTAACTTTGTAAAACAAAACACTGTGCCTAAGTTTCCTTAATGTATATGTGTTTCTGCATACCTTGCGTACTATGATCACCATCATCATTATCCATCATTGTTAATCTGTTAATAACCTGAATCTACTTTGTGTTATAATTTATCAGTTCTCTTTGACGGGGAGGGTAGGAGCACTTAATTGCTGTGATTGTTTGTGGTCATAACAGTGTATTTTGTTTGGTTATATTTTCCCCTTTCACTGAAAGGTGACATGGTAAAAACTTCTTATACTGCTTATAAATAGCTTTGATTGTTAAATGAGAACCAAATTTTAATTTTTGATATTCAAGATATCTTTTTTCTGTTTGTATTATCATAGGAGAAATACATAGATGCTGCATCAGAATTAATTGTATATACATACTTCTTTTCTGCCTCAGAAGATGTGGTTCCTGAGGTAATATTTAATATCTGGTTTAATGACAAAAAATTACTCATAAGAATTAATATTTGATTTTATGTATCTGAGAAAGTTTTACTTTTGGTGTCAGATTATTTATAATTCATGAGCCAGTACATCCACAATCATGGCATATAAAGACTGTCGTGTTTAGTAACTTTTTTCTCTATGAAATAACTGGTGAGCAGTGATATACATCAAACTCCAAAGATGCTTGTAAGTATGCTGCAAATACAGTCTTCTCTTGGCCTTTCAAACACTATAGTAAATAAATATTACAGAAACAAATTTTCATTGATACTACCAAAGTAAATAGGTAGTTTGAGAGTTGGAATAGGTAAGGATGGACAACTTTTCTGCATTTCTTTGTCCAAAAACTAAAGGCAGGAAGAAAAGAAGAGAGGGAGGTCTCTGAGTAGAAAATATTTGAACTGAAAACTGCCTGATGTGAAAGAGCCTCACACAGGTATGAACAGAATATATCAGAAACAAGAACATGCCTTGCCTATCTGAGGAACAGTGCAGTAGCCAGTACTGTGAGAAGGGAATAGAAGCAAGCAGAAAACAGATCCTGTCTTGGGCAGCATAGTGTGTATAATGAAGTTGAACTTCATTTGAAAATACCAAGATCACAGTGAATTGAACAAGTGTGAAAGTAGGTCCAGAGATCAGTTGACCTTTGAGCTTGAGAGTCAATAAGAAAGCAGGGGAATATGAAATAATTTAAGAATGTTCACCTGATACAGTGCTTCTCAAACTTCCTAATGCTGCAACTCTCATGTTATAGTAACACCCAACCATAAAATTATTTTCATTGCTACTTCATAACTAATTTTACTACTGTTATGAATTGTAATGTATATATCAGAAATGCAGAATATCTGATATGCTACCCCTGTTAAAGGGTAGTTCGACCACAAAGGGGTTTCAACCTATAGGCTGAAAACCACTGGTCTAGTACATATCTCGATTCTTATATTATAATAGGAATTCTGGAATCATTTGAGTTTGTTGAAGAACCTCTATTTTTTTTCAATCTAAATCCATTCCAGTTTTCCTAGTTAGTTTTAAGACATGTTGTTTTTCAGAGCAGATCATGTTCATATCCTTAATTTGAGATTTCTCCTTTGTAGCTCTAAGTATTGATGTTTATATTTTACAGTGAGACCCTCCCATTTTGGTATTCAGGCATACGATTTTTAGCAAACACAACTAGTTGTATAACCACTACATCTTTGAAGATGTAGAATTAGCTGGGCAGGATATTGTACACCTGAAGATAGAAGCAGCAGCTCAAGGCCAACCTGGGCTACGTTAAACTTTGTATTTAAAAAACAAAGAAACAAAAAACTAAAAATATAGAGAACAGACCGACTACCCCATGCAATGTGTTAGTGAACGTCAAGGAATGTAGGAGACAGATGAATATGGAGCTGGATTATCTGCAACAAGTTCTTCAGGAAGGACTGCTTTGTTGCTTTGTAAGGGAATATTGCTTTGTGTTGAAAATAGAACATTTATATCATTTTTGTGGATGAGTTGCCAAGAGCAAATGGATCTAGTCATGTTTAAGAGCTTTTTCACTACTTAAGGTGGTTCTTTTCATGATGTTTAAATCTTAGTCATAATGTTTCAAGACCCTTTATTATATGGCCTCTGTGCTCAGATGAACCTGGATCCTTTTATTTGTTGTTATTTTTATATTTCATGTGTTCATGGGCAATTGCTTAGCCAAATTATTTGTCTTCTGATAGTCATAATTTTACCTTAAATAAATGCAAAATAGAAAATGTACCTTTAGGTGAAATATTATGAATGACAATTGTGTTTCAAAAGCACTTTGTAGAGTTCTTCTTTCCTAATGTCATTCATAATTCTCATAAGCTTTGTGATTCTAGAATGCTATCATGCTATCCACACACTTTGTGTTTCTAGAATGAGGCAGTCAACTCCCTATATAAAGTGGCTGCATATCACACACATAGCTGGTGAGTGGTGGGAATGGCATCCTTAGGTAGGCGACTGAAGTGTTGGTCCTCCTGTTCTGTGCTCCAGAACCCTCCATCTTTTCCAAACCAGGATGCTGTGTTCTTTTTTAAACTCTTTATGAGTAGTCTGATTTTTCTCACATTTCTGGGATGTACCTGAAAACATTCAGACAGAAAAATTGGCTGAATTTAAGATTATACTCTTTTTAGTCTTTTGTTGTTGTATATATGTTTCCTTATTCTTTTCTTTCCTAGTGCTTTTGAAATTGTAGGTACTAATTGGATTGTTAGTGTTGATACTTAAACTTCTGATATTTTTCTGCAGTATGTGACACTGAAAGAGATGCCTGCTGTGCTTGTTTTCAAAGATAACACTTACTTTGTTTATGATGGTAAGTCCCAGAGCTTTAACTCGTATAAAGCCTTTCATAATTGCAACATTGTTACAAAGGAGGTGTTTATAAAAGATTTTATGTGCTGCCAGTATCACAGTTCCCAATGGTAGAATGATCTTTTTAACCCTTCAATAGTTTTTACGTTAGTGCACTTTCATCCTTAGTTTCTTTCAGTGATTTTGTATGTGTGTGCGCATGCGTGCATGCGTGCGTGGGGGGGTATGTGTGTGTGAAATTATTTGCCAGTTTAAGAATAATATGTATGCAATTTCTATGTATTAAAATTTTCAGACTTGATTTTTAGGAGGGTAATTAACATTTCACCACACAGAGATAAAATAAAACATCCTCAGAAAAATAGAACCCTATACCGTCTTTAAGTATTTCTCCCCCTCTGTCTGAAAACACTTCCTTAAAGTGAATACCTAATTTCAGCTAAATTTTATTTTGATACCACCCATGCATCATAAAAAGAATGTTATAATACAACCCTAATACTCACAGTAATATTAAATGGTTAACTGGACCTTGCTGCATTTGCTTTAGTTTTGTTGTTTCTCTTTTGAAGCATTTCAAAGCAAATCCTAAAGGCATTTTGTTACTGTTTCATTTTTCTTTTTTTTATTATTAAAAAAATGTGGGCCATATATTTAGGTAACCACTTGGTTATTGGACCACTAAAGACAAAGTTTTTTCTTTGTTTCAATGTTACTTTGATAATTGTGCAGAAAAAAAAACTAAGCATCTCTTTTTTTTTTTTTTGCTGGGTTTAATTGAACTAACTTTAATTTCTTGATATACAATCATCATTACTGTATATGCTGTTAGTATATAAGAGGTATACAGTGTTAACCTACTTAATGAAGGTCCTACATCACTAGAACATTAAATAAAGAGATTTATACAATGAAACAGAAAGTAGTTCATAGGCTCATTCATTCAGGGGTTAGTTATTTAATGTTTACAGTTATCACCAAACAGTCAAATGTTTGCTGTCAAAGGAACTTGAGAGGAATTATTCATACATAAAAATGAGAGAAAAGACATAACCCATATCTGTGTCTTTACCTTCCTTCTTTTTGATGACAGACAGCTACTAGAGGTGCTCACTATTGTTACTATTTTATGTATTTTTAAAGTAGAATATTTTCTTTTTTCTCCCAAGTTAAAATGCTTATTAACAGTATCTAAATTCAACCTTCTCATTTCATTACTCTAGTCCTGCTAAGAGGTCCTTAACACAGATACCTTCCTTTTTTACTTTCTTAGAAATTTAAAAAAAAAGTTATATCTGTTTATATATTACATATTCTTTGTACCTGCCTAAGAAAGTTCCCTTCCTTTTGTCTTGCTTCCTGCTTCAGATGTCTTTTGTGCTTGAGATAGAAGTAGTAGGTGCAGTTTCTGCAGGTGTTGTACATGTCCAGCTTTGTTGCTATTTCACAGACAGTATTTTGAAGTCTTCAAGTGGACAATAGGTTCCATAATGCCTCAGATGTTTACTCTGCTGCTGATTATTTGTGAATCTGGAAGCATTAGGATGCTTCAGGGACAGTTTATCTGAAGAGTTTTAAGTTTATCATATGCAGTCTTTAGCAAATTTGCTCTGGACATGGAATTAAGATTCTTGCCCAGTAATCACTTTGTAGTTTTAGGTTTGTTGCAAGGGAGAGGCTGCTTGTTCATCCCAGCCATCTGGCTAGGTTAGCCCTGAAATAACCACACAGAAATTGTATCAATTAAATTGCTTGCTTGGCCCATTAGTTTTATCTCTTATTTGCTAACTCTCACATCTTGATTTAACCCATTTCTATTAATATGTATATCGCCACATATACATAAAGCAGTGGCTTACTGTGAAAGATTCTAACCAGCGTCCATCTCAGGCGGAGGATCCATGGCTTCTCCCTGACTCTGCCTCTTCCTCCCAGAATTCAGTTCCGTCTTCTCCGCCTACCTAATTTCTGCCCCTATCAGGCCAAGGTAGTTTCTTTATCCATTAACCAATACAAGCAACAGATAGAAAGACGGACCTCCTGTTTAAACAGAAAAAAAGGAAGATGGGCAGCTGGGATGAACAAGCAGGCCCCTCCCTACAACATAGGTACAATTTTCTAACTTCTAAATTCAGCTCCACAAATACTTTTAATTTGACATTTATTCTGTAGGTTTGATTGTTTAAAAATAGTTTACTTGAGCTGGGCAGTGGTGGCGCACATCTTTAATCCCAGCACTCCGGAGGCAGAGGCAGGTGGATCTCTGTGAGTTCGAGACCAGCCTGGTCTACAAGAGCTAGTTCCAGGACAGGCTCCAAAACCACAGAGAAACCCTGTCTCGAAAAAACCAAAAAACAACAACAACAACAACAACAAAAAAAAAACATTTACTTGGCTATATAATTAGCTATATAAGAGACAGGAAAAGCACACCTTTCAGTCAGTGGGTATAATATAGTCAAAGCAAAGATAGGCGTTTAAAGACCCATACTTTTAATGGTTTTTTCATGTCATTATCAGGTTTCCAAAAGTATTTCAGAACTCTATTTTTTTTTTCCAAGACAGGGTTTCTCTGTAGCTTTAGAGCCTGTCCTGGAACTAAATCCAATAAGGATGTACATTTCCCCCTAAATACTATATTTCCTGTCAGTCTAGGAAAGGAAGTACTTGATGTTGAAATAAAGCTCACGAACTATGTTTTATGTTTTTGTTGAAGTTGTATATATGAGAAAGAATTATAAACTAAGATAAAATCTAATAAACAGTACAGATTACCTGCAATCATAGGAACCAGGTAAAACCTTTACCAGGCTGTCATTTTAGGAGCATATGTTTTCTTTGATCAGTCTGTAACTGTCTTTCCAACTTCATTTTTAAATGAATATTGAGATTATAATAACTGCATTTAACTTATGTAACTTACTTTTAAATTTATAAATGGAATTTTCAGCTTTTTACAGAATATATTCAGTTTTGTTTTAGGGGATTTTAATTATTTCTCTTATTTGAATTCTTTGTTAATTTTAGTTGGTGCTGTAGTAAATAATTGCATTGTTCATTAATCCTTTCCTACATCTGATTAATAGAATAAACTACCTTAGAACCATCTTAAGATTTTAAAATAATAATACTGTATTAAATACTTTATTCACATTGCCAGATTGAGATAGTACAGCTATCTTGTACTCCAGTATATTTCATTTGCTTTGTTTTCAAGAGTATGAAGATGGTGATCTGTCCTCATGGATCAGCAGGGAGAGGTTTCAGAACTACCTTACTATGGATGGTTTCCTTTTGTATGAACTTGGAGACACAGGTAACAAGCATATAGCCATTCCTTTTTCATTACAGAATTTTTCTTTGATTGAATACTTAATTACTGGTTCTTTTAAAGCTGCATTTCCTAACTAAAGTAGACTTATGTTTACTAGGTCTGCTTTTTAAGAATTGAAACTTAGATATCCATACCACATTTATAAATATATGTTCTTAAATGTACTTTCATATGAGGATCAGTTTATTCTCTTTTCTTTTCTTTTTGGTTTTTCAAGACACAGTTTCTCTGTAGCTTTGGAACCTGTCCTAGAACTCACTATGTAGACTAGGGTGGCCTAGAACACATAGAGATCCTCCTGTCTCTGCTTCCTGAGTGCTGGAATTAAAAGCATGTGCTACCACTGCCCTGCTGAGGGTTTTTCTAACACCTAATGGTGATGATCAAAACAAGGAGCATGGATGTTTAGTAATGAGGGGGGAAAAAACAAAACAAAACATGAAGCTTTGCATTAAAATGAAGCTTTACCAGCACTCGGGAGGCAGAGGCCTCTGTGAATTCTAGGCCAGTTTGGTCTACGAGAGCTAGTTCCAGGACAGGTTCCAAAACTACAGAGAAACTCTTTTTTGAAGAAGAAAAAAACAGAAGAAGAAGCTTTCTTACAATTTTCTAAAGTCTGCTTTTACTTGTGAGTAGGAATCAGTCATATTGTTTATTTCTTAAGGTCATAATAGAAAATTACAAATAAAGCAAGGAAATAAATAGAAGTTAACTACACATAAATAGAAAGTTCAGAACTTACAGGACACCTGCATTTTTAGGAGAAAGTGTTGTGCATACTTAGACTAATTTTAAGTGGAATATCTATTTGTTGGTACCACATGTGTTTCTTCTCACAATTTCATGGTCATGGGTTGGAAGTGCAGCTATAGAGAAGAGACATTTGAAAATTAAATTAACACAGAATAAAAACTAAATATGAAATATTTCAAGAAATGAAATAATCCTTATAGACTGATGTTTTCAACAAAAAGTTAACAGTGAGTTGAGATTGTATTGCTTAAAGATGTATTATGCTGGGCAAGATTAGAAAAAGCAGCAAAATAATGTAGAATTATGTGCTTTGTTTTGTTTTATACTTAATCTTACATTTGTGTTCCTGCCCTTGTCAAATAATACTCCAGTATATTTAGGTATAAACATTCATTTAACTTCCCTTATAACTCTGAAAAACTATTGTTTTCCTAAAATGAATGGGAGTTTCTTGAAGCTAAGGTATTTAGCTAGTAAACAGTGGTACCTTATTTTTGTTCTCCCAGTGCTTGGTGTAGTGCTAAGAACATAACACTTCAACTCAACCAGCACCACCAGAGCACCACTGTTCTACCCTTCTGAATATATCAGTATGCATATAATGTATGTTTTACTTATACTTCAGGATCTGTAGTTTATCACTCAGTTTGATGCTATGTACCATTTCTGGTAAATGGTGATCCATTGTACTAGAGCAAGTGGCCATGTAAAAAGCATTTCCTTCGTGTTATAAACTATTGCATCTTTAGCACCAACAATTTTTCTTTTTTTTTTCATTTTTTTTTTTGTTTTTTTTGGTTTTTCAAGATGGTTTCTCTGTGTAACAGCTCTGCCTTTCCTAGAACTAGTTCTTGTAGACCAGAGTGGCTTTAAACCTACAAAGATCTGCCTACCTCTTCCTCCTGAGTGCCGGGATTAAAAGCATGCACTACCACCACCTGGCTTATTTTTACTAATTTTTTTAAATCAATATCTTCTTTATGGTATAGCTTTTGACAAAATACTGTGCCAGTCTGTGTGTTGCATAACACATTTTAATAGAGAAATTACTACAAATTTATTATGATTTACTTCGTAGAGGAAATTTATCATTTGCAGTTGACTAATCTATTGGTCCAGGCTACAAACACTATATAATAATATGGTGGCTTAACTTTTTGTAACATGTAAAGGATGATTGGAATTAAAATCTAGAAACATATTCTGATAGTTCTCAGTTACAACAGAAGTAATATTTGACAAGAATGTGAATGTGTTATGTCATTCTCAATTCCAGGAGATGAAAGATATTATTTTTAATTTTAGGAAAGCTTGTGGCCATTGCAGTTATTGATGAGAAAAACACATCACTTGAACATACCAGGTATAGTTGCTTTGAAACAGATTTAACCTTCAAATGTCATTCATGTCTTGCTTTGCCTGTAATCATTTAGATAAAATTACAGATATTATAATGGAATAATTAAACTTTTTAAACTGGGAGGTAAAATATTTATATATTTGTTCTCTTATAGATTAAAGTCAGTTGTTCAGGAAGTTGCTAGAGACTTCAGAGACCACTTCCACAGGTATGTGCATGTGTTCTGAAAGTTGTCTTTGTTAGAAATGTTGTCTTTGTGTAACTTGGTGTCACAGTAAAATAAATCTAAAACAGTAAGATAAATTGAGTAACCATAATCTCTGAAATTTAAATCTGAAATCTGAGATGCTCTGAGGTCTACATACATGAGCTTTGATATGACATTAAATAGAAAATTTTACAGCTACCTTCACATGGTATGATCAGAACACAGAGTCACCTTTAAAGGATTGTATGAAACTCCTTCAGGATACATGTATAAGGTATATATAGGAGAAAAAATTAATTCTGTAATTAACATTTTGGTCCCTGCCCTAGGGAGCTCATTGTTTATGTGCAAATGTTCCAAACCATGAAAGCTTTCAGAAATGTGAAGCACTTCTAGCCCCAAGCTTTCCAGAAAAGAGAGTTCATCTCACACTTAGAAAGGTGAATCAAGAATTGCAGTAAATGACTAGGAGCTTCAGATCAACATGAGGATAAATCTATTGTCACGGCCACCCTCGGCCCGCAAGGATGACGCGACCACCGGAGCTCTTCTTGCTTTTTCAGGACTTTATTCACACCAATTCATCTCCTTCTCCTTCTCTTTCTCTTTCTCTCCTCTCTCCTCTCTCTTTGACCTCTCTCTCTCTGGGCAAACCTCTCTCATTCCCTCTCTCTCTCTCTGGGCAAACCTCTCTCTTTCCTTCTTCTCTCCCCTTTCTTTCTCCTCCGGGCAAACCTCTCCCAGCCCTTAAGTAGGCATGGGCTGCCAATCCCGGATTGCTAGGTGGGCACTGCCCATAGGCCCACGCATATGCAGGCAGCTAATGATCATTGCGTGATCATAGCATAGGTCAGACTTTAGCCATAGGAGTTGATTATACATCTCCATCAGTTGTGATTCCACGCAGCTCGCTACAATCTATGTCACATCTTACAAGTTAGAGAAGCTGTTCCCAGTCATTTATAATTAATTCCATTTCTGCTTCCTGTGAGTGTTTGACATGTGTTTTATGGAAGGAAAATATGCCCATAGACTTGAAAATATGAAACAAATCAAATGAGCAGTCACATGCCAGGTAGATGATTAAAACAAATATTCAAATTAACGAAATGTAAAAATTTACTTAGAAATGAGAAATTTTTCTGTGTTCCAGATTTTTGTGTTTCTTGCTGTCTCTAGTAACAGAAATAGATACTTGTATGATTCATTATTTTCTTCATATTTCAAACCTACTGAAAGTTCATTGTGTAGTTCTAATGGTACATGGGACCTCATCTGAGTGATCCTATTTCATGGTAAATCAGCTTTCCTTAACTACATTTTACTGAGAGCACATTTTCTTTCCCTGCCTTTTAAACATGCATGAGATGAAATATCTTAAGAGTTTGTTGCTACTGCTCATGTACTTATCAAACCACAGTAACATAAACTTTATGTACATATCATAGGGATTTCCCTGTTCAGTATTTAAAGTTTATATGTTTACCAAATTCTTATTGTGTTGTGTACCTTTTTTTTAAATCTAATATTGTGTTCTTTCTCTTCTCTCTATTGTTGCTGATATCTTATAGAAATTTTCAGTTTGGCCATATGGATGGAAATGACTATATAAACACTTTGCTGATGGAGTAAGTAAAGTGTTAATGGTTTTATTAGCAGTTTTTCCACTTTGGTATTTCTAATTTTGAGAGAATGGGAAAGACTTAATGGGAAAAACATGCCTCACCACCAAAAAAATCCACATCATTTCCTTATGCTGACATTCTCCCATTAAATGTCTTATTTTTGTTTATAAATCCCTTATTTTGAATTTATTGAGATTCAGTTTTAATCTTTACTATGAAAGATTATTTCCCACTTCAACATTATAACTTGTAGCATTATCAGATTACTCTACAATATGTATATTTGTGGGTTTTTATAATATATACATTAATAATTTTATTAGGTAATTATGGGTTGGTAAAGTTGTTCTGGGTAGAGGCACTGGCATACAAGCCTGAGAACTTGAGTTTGATCCCAGTGTACCACAAGGTAGCAGGAGAGACCCCCATCTCTTAGTTGGTGGCTGACATCTACATGCAATTATTGAAGGTACATGAAGTATTTGACACTAGTATTTTTTTCAGTTTTGAAAGTTCATTGGTAGATTCATATGTTTGTAGAATAAATTTTATTTATATCCACCTCATTCTGTCCCTCTCTCTCTTTTATATCTTCTTTTTATGTGTGACCCAACTGAATTTAATTAGAGTTGTGTGAATGAGTATGTGGTAGGTTGTTGACTGGAGCATTGGTAATATTGCTGAAGAAAATGATAATCTCCTGACACGAAAGCCATTTACTTCAAATAATCACACAAGAAGGGATGGGGCTCATAGGCTTCTCCCTCATTCATGCTGATGAAATGCTGACAGGACCATGTTGTTCCCAAGATGACACTAATGTTTTAATATCAAAAGCAAAATAGAGGGATAGAGAGCTGGCTTAGAAGTTAAGAGCACTGGTTGATCTTCTAGAGGTCCCGAGTTCAATTCCCAGCAACCACATGATGGCTAACAGCCATCTATAATGGGATCTGATGCCCTCTTCTGGTATAAAGTTGTACTTGCAGATAGAGCATGCATACATAAAATAAATTTTAAAATTTACAAAAAAAATTGAAAAGCAATTGTTTATATATTAACTATATCCAATAGAACAGTTAATCTTTATAGAAGTTTTAAGGTTGATCTTGTTTAAACCTAAGAGAAAATATATTCTGTATAATCTTATATTGTAGTGTATATACATCAGAGGACTTAATAAGATCATTTTAAGTCCTTTGCAGTGAATATATATGATTGATTAAAAAAATTGCAACATTCCACAGCAATTTTATTCCAATGACTAGTATCATAATTCAGGGTTATAGTATCAACAGTAGATAAACATTTTTTATTTTTATTTTTATTTTTTTTTATTTTATTTTATTATTATTTTTTTTTTTGGTTTTTCGAGACAGGGTTTCTCTGATAAACATTTTTTAATACATTGTGGTATAGTAGAAAATCTAAGCTCAAATTAGAATCAGAACATAATTAGCTTAAGTTGCTAAGTTTGAAGATTATGTTAGTTTTTTGTCTCTGACAAATATCTGAGGGAAAGATTTTAAAGGAGGTTAGATTTATTTTGGCTATAATTTATAGGTTTCCGTCAGTGTTGGTGGTCACCATTGCTTTCAATCTAAATGAAGCATCATGGCAGCATGAGTGTGTGGCTGATACTTCTCACCTTAGATGACTAAGAAATAAAAGAAGAAGAAGAAAAAAAGGAGACAGACCATCATGAGCACATTTCCAGTGACTTGATACATTCAACTAGATTTAATGGTTGAAGATTCCCCTACATACCAAGATAATATCACCAGTTGAGGATCAAGCCTTCCACACATGAATTTGTCCAGGCCATTTCATATTCAAGCTATGATAACAGGGCTTTATGTGCTAAGATATGATCTGCTTTGATGAATATTTAAATATATATATATATATATATATATATATATATATATATATATATATATATATATCTTAAGTAGAATAACAAGAGACTACAGAGAATTCACAATACTGTTTATTCAACATATTTTCTATATGTTTACTCAGCTATACAAGGTACCATGCTGAATATTCTCATGTAATTGTCTAGCAAGTTAGGTACTGTTGGTATCCTTATTATATCAGAAAAAAAAAATTGCTTGTAAGAAGCTAATTACTTAACTGACATCCTGTAATGTTAAGAGAAAACTCCAGATGCAAATACAGTGTGACTCCAGATACTGTCCTCTTGCATGTGTTGGTTTTAGAGTGCCATCTGATGTAGGGCTAAATGTTACTAGTATTCTATGTAATGTTGTGCAGAAATTTATACTTTGTATAGCACAACTTTTATTCTTATATTTAATCATGTTGCTCAGGTGTTGTTGGAATATTTTCATACATTCTTGGTTAATGGGGTAATGGTAAATTTGATGCAAAATTTGAAAGTTTCCTATAGACCACAGAGGTAAAAGTATTAAAAATCTGTTTTCTTCCCTAATTATAGTTACTCAGAGATACATGAGCATTAGGGTATTATTACTGTGCTTAATACAATTTTTTTCTTTTTACTTGTTTTTAGTGAATTGACAGTCCCAACCATAGTTGTACTGAATACTTCAAATCAACAGTACTTTTTGCTAGATAGACATATTAAGGATACCAGTGATATGGTCCAGTTCATTAACAGCATTTTGGATGGTACAGTACCAGTAAGTAATTGACATTCATTTCTGAGGGATGAAGAGAAGGAGGCAGAAGATAAATTAGCAGATTTTTACCTCTGATTATGAAAAAAAAAAGGTTTTCATTGCCTGGAGGGAAGAGGGAATCAACTTCACCCACTGCATTTTCGTGTCTCATTCACTCAATCTCATACTCTTCTGTGGCAGAGGCTCATAGGTACAAATGTCCTTCAAAGAATGACTTGGAATACCTTTGCTTGTCATGGTGATGGGAAAAGTGCTCTTGGGCTCTAGGGTTGGATTAGAGATAATAAGAGGTTTGTGATGCAGAATAATGTTTTTTAGAGAATTTTCATGGCACATAACACCCTTTTTGGTAAATTGAATTAAGGCTAACTGAATTAAGTTACCATAAATAACTATTTTTTTTTTAAATTTGTGAAAAACACCAGTTTACTAAGCAATCAAGAAATATATTCAGAATCATGGCTCCAACAAAGAGTTCTAAAAATAATCATATGGGAAAATTGTCATAAAGACTACTTGATCTTAATTTTCTTTTTTCCCTTTGTTACTGTAATTCTTATTGCAGTATTTCTCAAACTAGGTTGCAAGTTATATTAACAGTCATGAAGTCCTGCTCAAGTGTACTAGCACACATCTTAATTCAGTGAAAAAATCAGGAAGGGTCTTTGTTACTTCAATAGTATTTACTGTTTTCCTATATTTTTGTTTCAGTTTTACAGAAACATTGAAAAGCCAACTTGCTTACCTACCTTGGTTTAAAACCAATAAATTGGGGGAAACTCTCTTAGTCACATAGTAGCAATATGATATAGAGAGAGATGATATTTTTATTATTATAACAAATTCATTTGTAGTAGTGTGAGCCCTTCTCTTAGTAAAACCTCATCAGATTTTTATAATAACGATTACATTGGTCCTGTAGCTTAAGAATTCAAAGAGTGGGCCAGAATTCTGGGATGGCTAGATGCCAGAGTTGATTTCCTCAAGAACTTTTCTATTTCTCAGCACTCTGTGTTGAGTTCCATCTGCAGAAAGATGCTGCTACTTAGTAGGAAAGTCTTCAGCCACAGTGTGTCTACACAGCCCAGAGAAATGTAAAGCTTGTACAAGCCTAGAGAGGGTGAACCCACTTCCAGCAAACCACAAGGATCATGAGAAAGGGCAGAATGAGTTTTTAGGGTGCATTAGCATGATACACTAGGAATATAGGACATGAGGGGGTATAAATATTTATCATGAATTTAGGGGTGATATGTGTAATATTTTGTAAGTCAATTTTATGGCCTCCAGTTACATGATTATGTATCATAAAATAGAGTAGTAGAATAAGCATAACATATTTTATTCTTCTTATATTGAAGGCCCAAGGAGGTGATAGCATTTTGCAGAGATTGAAAAGAATAATGTTTGATGCCAAATCTACAATTGTGGTAAGTTCTGACAATTAATTTAATATTCTTGATAACTGAAAAACTTGAGGTTCTCAGTCACCTCTCTCTTTCTTTCCACATAACTACCTTTCTTTAGAGGCAGACTTAAATTATAGACTGAAAATGTGGCAGTAAATCTCTAAGGATGTCTTTCTTTATTTGTTCACCCCAGATGTCATGCTAGCTGTTCCATGTCACTTTTCATTTGTTGAGTCCTAGACCTCCATGAAAATGTAGCTAGCATTCTTTATTATTAAGAGTACATATAGACAATAACCATCTAAGAGATCTTCATGAGTAATGCGAGAAAAAGAAGGATCTTTATTAAATATTCAGGCTATTTGGTTCCTTTTCCTGTTGCCAATAGCCAGTTCTGCACACATGTACACTCACATGTGCATGTATGAGCATAGTTTTTATCTTGGAGTCTTTAACATGATATGTATTGCCCTATGTATGTATTTGTTGAAACTAAGTTCAGTAGCAGTGAGTTGAAATTTAAGTGGCCTTAAATTTACATCGTGCTTTTTTTTTAAGTTATAAACTTAGTGGCCCATTAGCTCAGGCTTCCTATTAGCTCTTATAACTTATATTAGCCTATTATTCTAATATATGTTAGCCACATGGCTCAGCACCTTTTTCAGCAGGGCAGGTTACATCCTGCTTCTTTGGTGTCTGGACAAGACTGCAGAAACAGCTTCCTTCTTCCCAGAATACTCCTGTTCTCATTGCCCCCATACTTCCTGTCTGGTTATCCCGCTTATACTTCCTGCCTGGCTACTGGCCAATCAGTATTTATTTAAAACATAATTGACATAATACAGAATTGTCTCCCACCATTAGACTTTCTGGTGGAATTACATTTGGCTCTCTTGATGGAGGGCCTCTATAAAACTTCTCTTAGGACTGGAGAGCGAGGAGGAGGGGGACAGTGGGAGGGAATGGGAGGAGGGGAGAAATTTTAATTAATTAATTAATTAAAAAAATAAAAAGAATAGGTTTTTACTAAGCTATCCTCAGAGCTCTTGGCATTTTTCTCAGTTTTTAATCTTATCATCAATGTACATAATGAGACAAGTGAAGCTTTTAAGTTTTAAATTATCTTAAAAGTAATAAAAATCAGTGTGATTACAATTTTTGTTTAAAACACACTTTGCTTCTCTTTTCTATGTATATGTTGATGATAGCTCTGAAATTTGGTGTTTAATTAGTATTAAGTGTTTTACAGAGGCCCTACATCGTGCTTTTTATGTCAGAATTCTGTTCAAGTGCAACTGAATTCTCTCCCCACAGTCCATATTCAAGAGTTCTCCACTTTTGGGCTGCTTTCTCTTCGGCCTGCCACTTGGTGTCATCAGCATTATGTGCTATGGAATCTACACAGCTGATACAGAAGGAGGCTATATAGAAGAGCGATATGAAGTGTCCAAAAGCGAAATGGAAAATCAGGAACAAATAGAAGAGAGAAAAGAGCAGGAGTCTATCAGTGGAGAATCTCTAGTGCCTACTATGCAAGAGCCCAAGGATGTATTAGAAAAGAAGAAAGATTGAGACTTCAGAGGAAAAAAAATTGATAGGATTTCAAATTATTAAAGAGTATTTATTGAATTTAGAAATTTAATCATGATCTATTTACAGAAGAGAACATGTTACTTGTATTTTGCTAATAACAACTGCATGAATTAAAGTAGTCCCTCCATAAGTGGGAACTTATTTGGAGCACAGAGATGAAGAGTTTGTTTAAAACAAAACCAGATCATTGTGTCAGTTTACCTTAAAGATGCCCATTCTGTTCACACTCCTTTGTGTGCATGTTCTATGACAAAGTTAAAAAAACTTGGACAGAATATTATCTTGACAATTGGGGTGGAAGATATGTGGTTTTACGGAGCGAAATAGTGTTTCACCTACTATGTCAAGTCTCCTATATTTTGGATAAAATTTATATAAACAAATTAAGTCTTTAAAATTTAGATGTTTTAAGAGAAACTACTAACTTTTTCCATATATAAAATTTAAGATTCTGAGTTTAAAAATAGTGAGGATTTTATATAGCATAGTGATTTTATTTTATTAGTTGTTTTTAAAGGAGAAATGTTACTTTTTTACTTATACTCAGTTGCATTATTATAATACTGGCTTATGGTCCAATGAAGTGGGGAAAGAATCTTTGACCTTTACAGAATGACCAGGGTATGTGGGGAGTGGTGGCTTTAGCCTCTGCCCTATGCTGCTCAGCAGGGTGCACTGTCCATCACTGCAAGAAGTAGAAGCCCTCTTAGTACACCTTGCTTTTAACCAAAGCAACGTAGTATTTTGTTCTTTTATTTTTATTTTATAGCGTGACATTACTTCTAAAATTTCTATTATTTAAGAATGTTTTCAGAAGTAATAAATCATCAGCACTCCGGAAGCAGAGGCAGGCGATCTCTGTGAGTTCGAGACCAGCCTGGTCTATAGGAGCTAGTTCCAGGACAGGCTCCAAAACCACAGAGAAACCCTGTCTCGAAAAACCAAAAAAAAAAAAAAAGTAATAAATCATGTTTTTATGATATATAAACTAATAATTTAAAAATTACTGCCACACCTCTGTTGTGGGAGGCCACCTCCGTGACATTCATGACCTCTCATCTTTGATCAGAATGCAGTCTAAGACTGTCTAAGAGTGGGTATTTTGTGATAACATGTTTACTAAACATTAATTTGTTAATTTTGAACCCTTCATTTTAGCTCATCTTAGAATTTTTATTAGATAATATTTAGGTGGCTGTTCTTTGAGTAATTTAGGATTTATTGAAAGGATCTGCTGAACATTTGCAAACATGGTTTGCAGTTCTAACACTGTTGTTACTTAGGGCTTTTTTGGTAACCAGGGGAGTTTCTGCCTTCTGATGCAATATTAATCAACACTGAACTGAAACTGTCTGTAGAGCCAGGAAATTGCTAGTCATAGTTTGTATCCAGGTATTCTTTTCATGTTTTAAAAAACATCTATTTTTAATATTTAATCAACCATAATTAACTTTATTGATAATGGTATAAATATAAAGTTACAGGAAATTTCAGAAAATAGAAAATATTTTCAAATGGAAGCTGGAGGTCAACACTGTTCATAATTGCTGTGAAAAGTAAACTCCTCCAAAGTATAAAGACTCCTTGGGAAGACTTCATGATAGTTGTCTGAATGGAGGAAAGACCTGAAGTTTATACAAGATGATTCATTTATGATACTCTATGGCATCATGAGAGAGACATGAGGAAATAGGGAGTACCACTAATAAATTTTATTATTTTCATCACTATCAAAAGTTATGTGTATTTTGTCTTATCAATCATAACTTGTAAATAAGTTCTCAGTAGGAAAAAAGATAAGGCACAGCTTTGTATCAGTAAACAGAAATACAGAGGTAGTTTTGGGGAATTTTGTTTCGTTTTTGTTTTTTCGTTTGTTTTCTTTGTTTTTGGCAATACTTTTCTTGAATGAGTATTTTGGTTCTGTATTGTGAAACAACTTCATACTGATCCTCAGTGTATTTGTACTTTCAAAATGTTTTCATTGAGGAAAAAAAACCCAATGTGTAAGTGGTTTATAAGTGAATAGTTTCATTTCTTCTTGTATTAAACTTATACTTTTTGCTTATTCTTGAGGATATTTTTATCTGCATTGTCAGATTGCTCACATAACAAAATTTAAAGTTTGTTCACGCATGTGTTTTTCTCATTGATGTGTTATTCTAAATACTGTTTGCTTACCAGGAGAACATACTACAGAATCAAGGCAGCTTCTTCATAATCTAGGAAAAGATTGATCCTCTAATTCAGTGATAAATTTCATGGTTAAATACCAACAAAAGAGTCCTTTCAGGAATTGGAATTCCACCTTTTCTTTCATGTGTAAATTCAAAAATTTAGCTCTTTGGTGCTCAAACAACATTCAAGAGTATTCCAGAGAGTGTTCATGCTTAGTCCAGCATCTCTTTCTGAAATCCTTTATTGTGTATGTCAATAGGTTTGTACCTTCTATTGTTTGAAACTTCTTTGAGATTTATTAGATATATAGGTTTTGTTTTCCTCCTCTCTTTAAAGGACATTTGGACCTGGTTTAGAAATGCCAAATAAGATGATGAAAGGACTTTTAAGAGCTGAAGCAATTGCGTCTGTTGTTTCTGTTTCATCCATCTTATTGCCTGTGATGTTTCTAAGATTTTGACTTGGTAGCTCTTGGTTTTAAAATATTTTTATCAGTGTTTTCTGATGAAATGGACAGGGAAAAAAAAATCACTCAGCTATTCTTATGCAGAAATTGTTAAGCCAGTATAAGATGTTAAGATTTAAGTGGAGGGACTGAATTTGTCATTTTATTTTTTACAAATATATATTTTTTCTGAATGTTTCTGAGTCCCAAGAATGAGCAAAATAATAATAGTAATTTTCTAGTTTGGATAAGCTATAAAGGTTTTTGAAAGTCTGTATTACTACTAACTTGTTGAATTGTGATAATATGCCTTATGTCATCAATTGCAAACTTTTCTTTTTCTAAAATAAATTAATTAAAAACATGATTGCATAATTTCTACACAATATGTATTTTTCAGAAATTTGCCATATGGCTATGGGGCAGTGGAATAAGAATAAACAGTGAGCCCAAAATAGTTTTCACTGATTTGCAGGTTATAAGCAGAGATAGCCTACTGAGCTATGGGGGGGCTCCAATTTTATGGGACTGTGGTCTTAACTCCATTTTTCTTTTTCTTACTATACCCTAGTGAAATCAGGAAAGCCAATTAACTTCTCCCACTTCTGAATTACATGCGATTTGAGGATATTGCCGCTTATCTAGATTATGAAGTACCTGTGTCTGGCACATAGCTCATTAATAACTGACTGACATTTATTGTTTTAATTTAGTTGACTTATCACTTCATTTAGAATTCTGTCATTGATAGAGGGAAAAAAATTTACTGTAATTTGAATTCCTGGTATTTTTAAATTTTCTTAGCTAATTTTCTGCAATTTTTGAATTCTATCATTTTATATAGTGATAGAAAATATTTTAATATTGAAATTAAAACTAAGTATTTAGGTTTAGTTACCTGTGAAAATTCTCTGGCTTTTCTACTTTTTAGATGAAAATGTTACACAAGAAAGTGTAACTTGTCAGTAAGGTTGCTAATATGTGTGAATATCTTACTTAGATTTCTGTATGATTTAGGCAGAGTTAAATGCAGGTGTGTCACTGGAGGTAGGTTTTGAGGTTTCCAAAGCTGCCTGTGGGTCTGGATGTAGCTCTCAGGTGCTTTTCTAGCATCATGTCTGCCTGCCACCATGCTCCCCATGATGATGATGATGGTGATGATGTCTTGTGAAGCTGTAAGAAAGCCTCTGATTAAATGTTTTTGCAAGAATTGTGTTGGCTGTGGTATTTCATCACAATACTGATAATCCTAACTAAGACAATCTTGTTATGCCTCTACATAGATGACTACTTTGGACACGTGAGCTGGTCAGAACTGAGCTGATTTTCACGTTGGAGTGCAAGCATTTGGTGTGTGTATGTAAGATATTTGAATTTCTTTAGAAGAAAACTTGCTGAAATGACATTTTCCTGTCTTTTTGGAATATTAGGATAATTAATAGTTTCTTGTGTGAGAGTGGAAAGAAACAATTATTCTAAGTTGGAGTGGGGATTAGTGTCAAAAATAAGTGGGTTAAGAGCTTAGTCTTACCTCAACTTGATAGGCCATCCTATCCATGGAAGACCCTTTCTGAACAGAAACAGAGGAAGAGTGGATTGGGGGTCAGGAGAGAGGCATGAGGGGTGATGCAATGGGAAAAGAGGAGGGAGGGGAAATGGGTTGAAATGTAAAATAAATGAAAAAATGTAATTAGTAAAAAGATTTTTAAAAGTAAATATGTGCTAGAGAGATGGTCCCATGATTAAGAGCACTGACCACTCTTCCAGAATATCCAGGTTCAATTCCCAACACACGTTTGCTCACAGCACTTTGTAGCTCCAGTTCCAGGGATCTTATCCTTATCTAGTCTCTGCAAGTGCTACACACATAGTACACAGAGGTACATGAAGATAGACACTCATATACATTAAATAAAAATAAATACATTTTTAAAAGTGAATTTTGCTTATCAAAACAATTGCAACAAAACATTTTACACCTTGGTTGCTATAAAGCAAAAATATAAAATGCAAAACAAATACTATAATACAGGTATTGGAGCAAAGGAGACAGGTATGATTATACTTACCCCAGAATTTAGGATGCTGAGATAGGGTGATCATGAGTTTGGGGCCAGCTCCAATCATTTACAACCAACCCTCTAAATGAAAACAAATATTTAATAATATTTTGGGAACTTGAGTTTAGTTTTCTTTATTATTTCCTATTGATTGGGGGCACTAGTAATCATATGGGCATTCTGAGAAAATTTAGAATCATGGTTATCTTGGATGTAGTAGTCTGAAGCTGCATTAAATCAGCCGGTTGCCTTGAAGCTGTTTTTGATGTTGGATTACCTGGGCCATTGTTCCCATCAGAAACCACTCAGGGGTCTTACTTGATCTAACCATATTAGCCTGGAAGGAATCCACAGCTTCTCAGGTTCTGTGGAAACAAAAATAGAATCTCTTTTCCAAAGCAACATATCCTTTGATACAAATTTTTAAGTCAATATACCTGTATGTGGGTTTAGCTTAGTAGCCCCCCCCAATCAAATTTATCTCTGAAGTTAGTTCATTAGCAGTTAGAAAATTCAAAGAAAACATGATAGTAAACATAATCCAGACTCTATTCACATTTACATGCTTATTATAATTTTTATTACTCTATTTCTTTATTTCCTTTTTAAGGACTTCAGTTTATTATCTTTAAATTATTCTAATCTGTGAGACTCTGGCTACCCTTTATTCTCTCCTCTCCCAAGCCTATGCATATTTATCAAACTCATTGTGAAGTGTTGAGAGGGCTTTTTGTCTGAATCTCTTTATTGTGTAGCTCTAATCATTTTCTGACTAGGAGAGTTTTTTAAAATGCAAAGTAGGTGTGGCTAGAATTGAAACCACAACTTTACTCCTCTCTAGGCTTTTTAACATGGTGGAGGTATGTTTACCAGCAGCTTTGGGAGCCATGCTCTGAGAAACAGTACTAAGTAGTGTGCAACTGTGCCCTTAGGCCCACAGCTGTGCTTTAAAGCCAGCAGGCAGCTGCTGGGAGCCTCTTTACCATAGCCCATGTAAGAAATTGTGGGAACCCACCACACAACTCAGTCTATGGCAGTTGGCAGCTGGCTCCATTTCTTGGGTTGTTGTCCAGAGATGTGTCTCCATACCATGGCCAACAAGAGAGACTAGGAAGCCCAGTGTGGCTTGTTTCTTTTTCCTTACAATATTTTTAAGCTTTTTTTTTTTTTTTTTAGATCTTATGTGAATCCATGCCAGATGGAGGTTTCTCTCTCATCCACCAGTTTCCAAAGAACCACTCTGAGGTTTAATATTAATTATAAACTGGCCTATTAGCTCAGGTTTATTATCAACTTGCTCTTATAACTTAAATTAATTTCTATTATTCTACATTTTACCAAAGACACATGGCTTGTTACCTCACATCTTTTCTGGCAGCTGCTGGTGTCTCCCCAACTTTGTATTCTTTCTCCCTTTATCTCTGTTTGATTTCTTCCTTGCTATATTCTTCCTGCCATTGACCAAAGTACCTTCTTTATTAACCAATATTAATAAAACATTCACATCATACAGAGAGGCATCCCACATCAGACCAGTCTGGCCTTAAACTCAGAGATGTTTCTGTCTCTGCCTCCTGAGTACTGGTAACAAAGTTGGTACTCATTTACCTTTACCCATAACACTGGGAGCATGTTTAGTTCTTTTTCTTCAGAAGATAGTATTCCTCTATGGAAACTGACTTGGTGAAGTTAAATCAAGTAAAGTATTTATCCAACCTCAAATATAAGATGTCCTTGTTCAAGCTCAGACCTACCAGGTTTAAAACACCTTTCTAGTGCTGTCCATTTAACTTGCTTGTCTTTGTGTTTCTAGTATGGATACAGTATGTGTTTATGAGATTTTTATACTACTGTTGATCTCCATTGGTGAAATAAGTTAGCAGGGCAAAGGCCAAGGAACTGTCTGATGACATCTACTTGAGTCATTCTGAGAACAGCAAATAGAGGGATCTAGAAGGAAAAAGAAGACATTTAGCATACATACATTGCGACTGAGTAGTGGAGTACTACACAGTACATGAGATGCCATTTACAACTTCCACAAATTAACTCCAAATTGACCTTACACCTAAATGTCAAATGTCAAGTGCAGAACTTCTAGAAGATACTAAAACTAGGCCTCTCTGAGTTTGGCAACCTCCCTAGGCTTTGGGAGGTTTCTCTAAGGCCGTAATGTATAGAGCAATTACAGAGCTCTGTCTCTGATCTCTGGAATATGTTGGGGAGAGCTGGTAAAGATGGTAAAGGCCCTTTTCCAGGGCCTTTGGAAAAGGTTTGTTTCAGATCCTCAGACACCAGGACTTTTCACAGGCCAGAAACTGTGGCTATCAGTTCCAACACTACTGTGGACTTTGTTTATAATGTTCTTGAGTTACACGATGTTCCTCATATGCAACATGGTCTAATTAGCCTCTTTTCTGAATTTGTATACTTCCTTTTAAAACTGAACCCATTCATTGATTTACATTAGCAAGAGACTTGCTGTTGAATTTGATGTAAATCTCCAATCAGTCTGGGATAGGTTTGTGTTTAGATTAGCAGCCAGTGCTGGGAATGCTGTGCTGTCTCCCTTCTGCTCACCTGGTTCTGACAATGAGACCTCACTAACCAATCGGAGCCTCCATCAGACCAACCAGTCAAATGGGAGAGTTCTTCTGGGAGCAAGGCTTCCTGTTTAGCTCTTCCTGAAGAAATCAGTCTCTCTCAAGCACTGTGCTTTGGGCTCCCTTGTGGGGAGAGAGTGTGTCAGCTCGGCAGCTGCACCATGGTGATTGAGGGGTTGCTCTCCACAGATGGGAGGTGCAGTTGGCTGTCATCAGGTGTGGAGGAGTGGCTGAGCTTGGCGGGTGAGGGGCTGCTGTCCCCAAACTAGGTGGAACAGCCTGCTGAGGCTTGCGGCAGGTGTGGTGCATCCTCCCCTGCCCGGGTGGGAGTCAATGGACACAGAGTTTAGTGTGTTTTTGCCTTTTCCTAAGATATGTGAATATCTGCAAATACAAATTGATACATAACTTTGATCAATCCTAAAATGTCCTCATTAAAATTGTACTTTAATTGTTATAATTATAAAATGTGTTCATCCAAATAATCCCCTTAGAAAATATATCAATGAATAATTTCAAGATCATAAAAATCTTGGCATCTTTTATATTAGTAACCCAAGTTCCAAAATTTTATTCTATAGCAAAATGAGATGGGGAAATTTCATATCCTAATATGTTATTGGGTCGCAAACATATTGAGAAATTAAATTAACCATTCAGTAACAGTGATATCTAATTTTTATTAAAATTCACTAAAGCAAATC